ATGTGGGGGCGTGTTCGAACGAGCCGTTTTAGGTAGGCGTGGTTGACTCTTAACTTTTATAAAGAATATCTCTTTGAATTTGAGACTTTAGTCTTTGCAACTTTACAGATCTTCTTTATGCACCAAGAGCTTGTAATACTCCAAAGAGAAAGGAAAAATAGAAATCGCATCATATGACCCCTTTAATGTCTTTTCAATTTAGTGAGCACTAAATGTCTTACAGCAGAAGATGCAACAGTGTTTTAAACTGCAGATTCTGCAGTAAATCTTCAAAAAGGCTGATATGGTAATTTGGCTCAATTACATCACTACAACTGATTAACAGGGTGTCGCAGTCGATGACACTTCAAAGCCAAGTGTTTCAACACACCAGATTGCCATATGCACTTGCTTTTCATTAGAGAAACAGCATTATTTGTATCAATGAGGCAGCTTGGACGGAGAAACTCTGGTTCACCTGTTGCCCCGGCAACATCATCGGGTAATTCACCTTCCTCCAGGTCTAGATTCCCACTGTACTCCACATCATTCTCACCAGACCTGTAACAGATGAAAACAATTCACACTTGTATGATTTCTCTAGTACTAAAGAAACTAGTACTAGAGTGTCAGCAGCAAGTAAACATATCTACAATGCATAACCAGATCAGCTCTAAAATTTTGGTTTAAGTGTGGAAAGGTTCTGATTGATTAATTGGATCCCAGTGGAACTAAATGAGGTGTGGCCGGGCCTTATGTCCCTTTTGTATCGCCACATGCTTCAAATAGACCAGGAATCATTTGCGTGACTCCCCCGTTAATAGTGAGAAGTGGTATAGTCTGAAATAAGCTGCTCCACAGGGGGTGTTGATAGCATTCTTCTCCAAGCATCCTGCTGATTATGTATGTATATGTGAGTGTGTGTGTGTAAGGGTAACACATGCACCATTGTCTCAGGCTCAACTGTGTGATGACTCCGTCCTCTCCAGTGGTTCTCTGTGCTGATCCACTACAGTATTTATAGAAGCTGAGAGCTTTGACTCCACACGGATACATAGAACAAATGTTTGCTTACCCTGCTAGTATTTATACTGGCCCCACCATAAAAATTACTTATTTTCTTTATCTACTGCAAAAGGATTTATATAACAAATAAAAAAAAAAAAGTATTAAAATAAATACATAATTCCCTCAACATACATAAAAACTAGGTTTTCTTTTTATTAAAAAAGGATTAAGTTTATATTAAAACATAATGATAAAAAATAAATCAAGTAATATTAAAGATTTATATAACAAATAAAAAAAAAAAGTATTAAAATAAATAAATACATAATTCCCTCAACATACATAAAAACTAGGTTTTCTTTTTATTAAAAAAGGATTAAGTTTATATTAAAACATAATGATAAAAAATAAATCAAGTAATATTAATAATTATTATTATTATTCCCCCTCAATATACACAAAAAAGGGTTTTCTTTAGATTGAAAAAATAAAAAATAAAAAAAAAATAATAATAATATAAGTTTTTTTTATTTTGAAGTTTGACATTTATTTAGTTTTCTGCTTAGCAATACTAAGATTGAATTATTGCAGAAAGTACATCAAAAGATACAATTCCAAGAAAAAACAAATACAAAATTCTCAAGAAATATAAAAACAGATCATTCAAAACAAATAATACTACACCAAATAATAATTAAATTAAACATATGCACACTTATACATATGCATCCATCCATCCATACACATACAATAAAAATAGGAAACAAAAGTGCAATTGCAAAAAGGACCCTAAACATCCAAATTATATTATTATAATTATATTATAATAATTTATTCATAATTAAATGATTTTTTCCTTGCTTTGAATAATGTCAAATTATTTTGCTTCCTAAGAAGCCGAGCAGTTTTTTCACCGCTGGTTGGTGGAAAAAGATCATGAAGTGGATGATCATTCTGAGCCATCTCTTGCATTAATTTAATGGTGGCTTGCTCTCTCCGACCTTGTAAATCAGGTAGATGTATTGATGTAAATCTCTCAATAATTCGTTGTGCTCTCTTCTGCATGCTTTCCGGTAAAGCTGCTTGCTTTTTTGTGCAACCTACTAACAGCATATTTGCATACTCTAGAGTCTAGACAGACTCCGATCATACTTAAGAAATGTCTCTTTTAGAACATCACTGAATGCTAATTATGAGAGAATATTATACATCCGTGTGTTGTTGTTGTTGTTTTTCCTATGTAGGGTTGGTTAATGTTTGGGGCTTAACATGGTAAGGACATTTTGTGGTTTTCTGATCAGTTTGATGTAAGTGATATTCATACTGTCCCGACCATAAAAAAGATTGGAAATAAGAAACCAAGGAGGTATATCATCGGGGCCACTTGCTTCCTGTGTGTCTAATCTTAGTAGGGCTTGTTTTATCTGTCCTGTACTACACGGTTCATGCGTTTTTGTTGGTTCCTAGTCCAAGCCTCAGCAAAGAAAAAAAAAAAACTGTTTAAGACCTCTACCACATGATCTCCACATGAGTTCATAGCCTTCAATATCCAGGATTTCATCTGGGATATTTCCATGTGCCCATGTCTCTGTAACACAATCAATGTCGACTTCCTTTGTTCTTAATAAAAGTTCAAACTCACAGTCAAATCCATACCCAATCTCAAGAAACCCATTTGAGATGATAATACCAGTCGTAAACAGAACCTAACGCCACATAATTCCCTCTTTCCCTTACTTTATCCTGATTAAGCGGCACTTCTGACATCTGGGTAACGGTAATTGCATAGGCACCTTTACAAAGCCAACACGAGGAGCTCACACAAAGCACTCCAGCAAATAGAGTCAAAGGTGTGAGAGAATGTGCGTGGGCCTGAGAACAAGTGTGCACGTGTGTGTGTGTTTGTGTGTGTGCACATTGGAAAAGACAGAGACTGTGAGAACAAGCATTTGTAAGCAGGAGGCAGAGGCTCTGATGACTCATTCGTCTCATCTGGTTGGGAGCAGTGTGTGTGTTTGAGAGCTGTGTGAGCGGACGGTAGCCGGCAGCATGAGCAGAAACATGTGAGGTTCTGACTCCAACACCTCACTACAGAAACACGAGTGCTCTCACAGAGCCTACACAAGTCAAACCTGCCAATAGTGCTCATTCTCTCAGATCGTGATAGAATAGGACAGAAAGAACAGCTCTTCTCTGGTTAAACACGGAGTACGAGGGGAAAGCCTGTCACAAATGTGGTAGCAGCCCTAATTAAACTGTGTTTTCCAGCCAGGGGGAGGATACAGCTGTTACCCTATGGCACACAAAGCACCACCTCTTATGCAATAATCTTAGTACACTAGTATTTACCACACCATGAGGATGTGACCTAGCAAATGATGAGTACTGCCCCTTACCAAAAAAAAGAAATAAGAAAAACACTATTAGAGCTGATCACGATTTTGCCAGAAACACTTTCAAAAGATCTACATTATCTATATACCACAATGAAGCTTGTGACCTTCATCATATGCTGTCTTCCAACAAGTATGGTAAAATAATACCACAATTATTATTAATGGCTTGGCTCATTCAGATAGGTTTGCATCACAACTGTTAATCATTGCAGTGATTTTGCCTGGGTTAAAATAAATAGTTTAGCTGAAAAAAATCCTGTCATTATTTATTCACCCTCATGTTGTTATAAATTCGTTTCAGCTTCTTTCTTTCAAATAAAAATCTCCAAGCTGCATTTTTTCATATAAGGAAAGAAACTTAACAGAGTCTATCAAGACTATCATTTCAAAAAGAAATGGAAAAAGCAAATGATTGGTCCATATGATTTTTAACAACTATCACTGGCCTTCTAAAACAATACAATAACTTTGTGTGCATTAAAGACTGAAATATTTTGAAACGTCATAACAGTAAGAAAATGGTGACATAAGCTGTTTTTTAAATCTTGTACGTACATGGTCTCTTCGTCAATGTCATTCTCCTCTGTGTTACTGGTGGCTGTGGAGCTCCCAGAAGTGCTACTACCGTCCAGAGGATTGACATCTTCATCTCCAATTAGACAGTCCACCTCCAGATCCCCGTCAGACAACTCCTAACAGCGCATCAACACATTATCATCAAACTGATCCTAATGTGCGTAATATAACATAAAATAGCTTCAAGCATGAAAATGATTCAAGTAATGTGGCTGTCAGGGCTTCAGGTTGACTACTTTACATGTAGGCTTGTTTACTTTAGAGATCACAATGAGCGTAATCTGATTTGAATGTCATATGCCTAAAAGCAGATGATGATGTAAAAGATGTTCAAGATGTGGCTGATGAAATGATGGATAATATCTTAGGGGTGTAAAAAAAACTGAACTTTTCTTGTTCTCAAAGGGAACAAGAAAAAGCTGAAGATTTTATTGCAATAAGACAAAATAGCTATGAATGTCACTATGCTGCTCTCGCAGGTCTTACATTAGAGTCATCATGCTGGGTCTTCTCTTCATCCTCATCTTCCTTCGTCTCCGCTGAGGCTGCCTGACTCCTTTCCTCCAGTACGGAGCTCTTTCCCTGACGGGAGTCTCTCCCAGAGGAAGTCGTGGGGCAGAGACGCCGATCAGGTGGAGAGGAACTCCTCGACTTCTGCCGCCGGAACAGTTCTATGGCTAACCTCTGAACAGAAATCCGACAAAATATAAAAAGCATAGAACACATAATACACTTTGGAAAAAGTGTTTCTTAATTAAAGGCAGAGTGAGTGATTTCTGGTAGCCAATGTTGATATTTGAAATCACCAAAACAAACACGCCCCTACCCCAAAAGGGTCTTGCCCCTATTTTGATAGCTCCGCCCCACACATACGTACGCAAGCCAGGCAACGATTAGTTCTGTGAAACAAAGCAAAACCAATGTTACACCGTGTCTACGGACGTGAGCGGCGCGGCGCAACAAATCCCCTACAGAAAACTGCTGCCGGGTTCTATTTATGATGTGCTGACACAAATTTCAAATGGTTTTCAACGATCGTTTGATCGCGTCTAGTGTAGGCAGACTTTAGCTGTTGTAGACACGGTGTTACTCACCTATTGAGAAGAAACAAAGCAACCTCGGCGTCCGATCGCAGGCCTCCGCTCCTTGAGTTCTCTCCAGCGCTGGAAAGCTGATCCGATATTTACACGTGTCCTACTTCTTGCCTTATCGTTCCGCAGACGTTTTCCTCTTTTGTTTTTTATCCGCCATCTCTATCTCTCTGTCGCTCGGCTCGGCTAATGTCCGTCCCATGCACTGAACGCGCTCTCCTCCACATCACGAGTAGACACGCCCCTTATTGCTGATTGGCTACAAGTTTGTTTTGCGATTCGGCCCGAATCAGTTTTATAAAGTGGTTTTGAAAAATCACTTACTCTGCCTTTAAGTTTGAAAACATCAACAGGCATTACATGTTACAGAATGACTATCACATGAATAGCAAAAGCTTTCATAAATACACACGCTTCAGTCCATATAGAAGGAAGTAGACATTAAAAATTATGTTAAAGTTTAAAACAAACAGTTTTTTCTAACCAGATCCTAATGAGGATGTATTGAGGGTGACATAAAAAAAACACATAGCAGCATCTTTAACACTAACCTCTTTTAGGTTGTTGATCTGTTGAATGTAGCTGGACTGGGCTGACTCCAGCTGAGTTATATACCAATATTGATCTCTACACTTCTGAAAAAACGTTGGTGATCGCACTTGATACCTGCGAGATTAATAGAAAAAGCAGAGCATGAGAAATGAACAAGACAGCCTATACTGGATATATCCCTGGATAGTATATGATGCATTTCTCACCATTTTTTACATTATTTTTTGGGGCATAAATGCAGCATTTACTACACATCGTTTAATTACAAGTTAAACTTTTAAAACATACATCTTGAGACATCAATGTTCAATTCTACTTCACTCCATCTAAGGTGTTTTTTTTTAACACAAGTACGCTTCCTGTGTCAACAGGCTGTAATAACTGTGCTGTAATAAGGTGCTATTTGAGATATAAAATAGTCTAAAATAAAGCTGCAATGTCACACCTGAGCACAAGATTGTCAGTCTGCATATTCAAGTAGCCCTCACTGGCGAGAAGGTCCAACCTGAAGAACCTGTTATACCCCCAGCACTCGCCCACCTCAAAGTCCGATGCAAACTCTCGAATTATGTTTTTGGTGGGGTCACTGGAGGCCTGATGGACCATCTCCACCCTGTATTCATACCTGGAAGATATGCAACCAGTTTGCCATCAAAAAACATTATTTGTGACACAGCACAGCAGGATGACAGGACAAGAGCAGCGAGTGCAGCCTACTTGGACGTCTCTGGGAGCCCTGCCGACAATTCCAGAAAAACGGAGAGATAGTTTCCTCGAACGACACCATTGCCATCCTAAAACGCAACAACAACCTCTGTTTGCGAATATGAAGAGTTTGTGAATTTCAATTTGCCACTATGTTACAGGTGACAAACTTACAGGATAAACCTTCAACCTCCAACACAGGCCTGATATCTGGAGCGGGGGGCTGTAGACGGGGTCGGCTCTCTGCCGCAGAGTACTTAAGGCAATGTGACAACACCAATTCAAGTCACGCAAGAAAACTAATGCACCATTTAAGATATAAATTAATAAGAAAGACAAAGGGCGTGTCATTACCTGAAGTTTGCCAAAACAAAAGTGCTCGAGTCATAGGCAGGGACCAGCTCACTGAGAACAAATGAGATATGACTGTGTGCAATTTATCTTGCGTATCGAAATAGACAAGTCTCTAAAAGAAAAGTTCACTGCAAACTTCATTTCACTCATAAATAAAGAAGTGCTAGTCTAAAATTTCACTGGAGAAGTAGCATACCATATTGGCCTACAAATTGACATCATGATTGCATGGCTTTATAAGCCTAGAGTTGATTTTACAGGTGTGCATGTTTATTCATAATTCACAGACTGCCACAGAGAGCACCAAAGTTCAAGCTTACGGAGATCTCGTCTCTGTGTGAAGCAGCAATATAACAGGTACAGTGTCTAAGTTTGTGTACCTGGTGAAGTCGGGTGGGACAGGAGTGGTGACAAAAGACTGCATTGGTTTCCTGTGAACCTGCTGGAACATGAGCAGGATCTCTGGACTCTTAGAGATCAGCTCGCTCTTACTGCACGAACGCAGCTGTGGGGTGAAAACACACTTGTCACAAATCAAAAATGCTACAAACATCTGAAATTATTATCCTGCATATTTGTTTTTTAGGTTTTAATTGTAGTATTTGAATAGCATATTTTCAGTGTAGTCTCAAGAACTCCCTTGCATGTCTGCTTTATTTTACTGCTACACCAGATCCACACACCTGGTGTTCCACTTCCTGCAGCAGAGACTCCAGCAGTTCTGTCTCCTGTGTCAGAGAGGTCTTCTGTCCTGTGGGTGCAGCAACTCTACATTAGACCAATATTACCTCAAATATCAGATTACATGAAAATTGTCAGAACAAAAGCATGTTTGTACCCATAAGTGTGATGAGTTTGTTCTTGAGCTGATTATCAAGCCGAGCAATCATCATTTCCACAGCATTCCGGATTTCCCTTACCCTCTCATCCTTTGCCCCACGCACCGCCTCAACATTCTTCTCCTAAAAACACATAAACTGCAAAGTTATAGCTCTTAAAACTTCCAAAATGTATATTATATGACTAAAAGTATGTGTATACAATTTTTAAAATCGTAATATTTTAAAATAGAACTATTTTTTACTGTATTTTTGATCAAACAAATACAGCCAGGTGAGTATAAGAGACATCTTTCAAAAACATTAAAATCTTACCGGCTCCAAAGTTTTGAACAATATTGTACTAGCTGAACATTTAATGTCAAAACCATCCGCATTAATCTAGGAAGATTTTCCATTAGATGTATTTGTCCATGTAATGTAAATTTGTTTTGTGCTGTGGCGCCCTCTATAGGACAATCACCTGACACAGGATTCAAAAGTGAGCTATAAACAGTAGCTGATGGATTTGTGTGGGTTTCTTGAAGTCCTGGCTTTCTACATTATGTAAAACGCCTTCAAAAGCACTTATCAAACCAAGAATACATGTAATTAGATAACATTTGATTTGTTATTAGCAGTTCCATCTAAAAGGGATTTGTGGCTGGTAAACTAGCATCCATCACAAACTGTCAACTCAGAACACATCTAAATGGCTCCGTGTGGGCGTGAATGAGAAAAGAGGGTGCTTACCACTTCTTGAACCAGACTAATCAGCTCCATTAGCCGGCGCCGCAGCTTGGCCACCTCCTCATTCACCTTTGTCACATGCTGCTCATAGATCTCGGCCAGGGGTTTGAACGTATGACCTCCATGCTGTGGAGAGGAGAAGGAGATCAGCAAGTTCCTGTTTGAAACAAACTGAAATTCATTCACATTAGGCACAGTATTATTCATTGATAATTTGCGCTGATGTGTGACCAGTCATGTTTTATCACAACACAATTGGATCGGAGGAAATGACACTGTATATGTAATCCACCAGCCTGACTAATATGTTTTGAATTCAGAATTGCATACCATGCCACCCCACAGAGCGCACTGGTGACAGATGCACTTCTTACAAGTCCAGCAGAACACACTCAACTTCTCATGATGGTTCTCACACCTGTTAGGGTAAGAGAATGGCAGAGTGAGGAGAGAATCATTGACAGTCAGTATTAACTCTACACTAATTGGTCACTTATTCATCCAAGAACATGAAAACCAAATATAAGCCATGGCGTATATTTTTTTTTCTATATGAAAACATTATACCATGCCTATTTTTCCTAGTAAAATGCTTTCTAATGTATAGATTTCATTGTTGCAATCTTCAAAAGTATGAAAAGCCATGATATAAATATGATTTAATATTTAGTGTAAATAAGTGTATTGCTCACTTGTCTTTGTCGTTCTCCTCATGTTTTGTGAGGTTGCAGAGCTGCATGTGTATTGTTGCAAGCTGGATTAAAGTTGATTCTATAAAACTTCTGTAACGTTTGTATATCATTTGAATATTTTTAGATCAACTAAAAGCGAGTAAGGGATCAGGGATGAATCTGTTCCAGCACTCTAGATAAAGGAGTCTTTGTGTTTGAGCTTTAATTATAAAGCTCTGGTTTGAGCACACTTCAAACTGCTTTGGCAATTATGTGTGTGTGTCTCTGTTGCCAAATATCAGGTGGCTCTGGTCTAGTTGTCTTAAGTTTTTTGGATGCGGTTTCCTTAATGTAACTAATCAGTGCTTCCCCGAAATGATCTCATTCTGTGAACACTAACAATAGAAAAATCAATACTTAATCCTCTAGATTTACTGCAGAGACTGTCAAAGCTCAAAACATAATTTGAAGTTGAACCTCAGAACTTACCGACAGTGGGGACATTGAGCTCTCTGTTCAGTCAGCCATCGCTGCCAGGAAGAAAACAGAAGAACGAAATTTACTAATTTATATATGCGGTCTTGGCTTATCCTTCGAATCAGTAAGAGGTCAATTATTAAAATACATTAAGTGTTTTATTAGTAGGTATTCTAGGGAAGTATTCTTCCCAACATGGCACACTTGGAAAGCATTTAAAAAACATCTATACTGCTCATTACTTAAAGTGTTTTGGCAAAAACAACTGAAGTGAAATGTGACATGTATAATATTTGTGTATGATAATAATAATATTAAAAATTCTTTATAAATCTTATTAAACCAAAACCTCTACAGTAGGTATAGAAAAGAATCACCCCCCTTTAAAATAATCACATTTTGTTGCTCTGCAGCCTGAAATGAAGATGGACACAGTTTTTGTTTTATCCAGCTGTGTCTCCTCAGTGCAACTCATAACATCCAAGTGAAAAATATAGCACTAACATGTCAGAAAAACAAAACAAAACACAGAATCACTGAGTTGGAAAAAGGATCACCCCCTTGTGTCAGTAAATACAGCAGGATAAAACAAAAACTGTGTCTGTCTTCATTTCAGGCTGCAAAGCAACAAAATGTGATTATTTTAAAGGGGGGTGATTCTTTTCTATACCCACTGTACATATGAATTTAGTCATGTCCTGTCAAGCTGACACAATAAAGCGAGCAGAGGGAGCGTTGATTAATTAGACAGACATTGTGAGCTCCTCTAGGCTGTGTGTAGTATGATCATAATGTTGTTAATGAGTGTGCATGCATGTGTTTGCTCACCCGTATGCAGCTGAAACAGCACAGTTTGGAACAGTGAGGGCAGAGACGGGCATCACGCAGCTTTTCCATGCAAATGAAGCAGCGGAAGACTTCCGCTATACTCTGAAGAGGGACGCAAGCGAAGAGGCAATTCAGACAAACTTGAGAAGGAAAGCATTCTGTCAACTTTTAAGCAACATATAATGAGCTTATTAGTTGATACATGAACACATTACTTAACATTGAGACTAAAAATATTTACTATAATATAATCAAACAGTTTATGTTCTTAAAGGAATAGTTCACCCAAAAATATAAATTTGCTGAAAATTTCTTCACTGGAACAGATTTGGAGAAATTTAGCATTACATCGCTTGCTCATCAAAGGATCCTCTGCAGTGAATGGGTGATGTCAGAATGAGTCCAAACATCTGATAAAAACATCACAATAATCCACAAGTAGTCCACACAATTCAATGAATGATCTTGAATTAATAACGAATTAATAATCTGGTAAAGCGAAAAGCTGCATGTTTGTAAGAAACATTAAGACTTTTTAACTTAAATCCATCACTTCTGGCCAAAATAATAAATAAATCTCAAGTGATCTGTGCATATTTCAGTCCTCATTCAGATTAAATGACTTTCACTGGAGAAAGCAATATTATGGATAAAGGACTCGTATTTTATCTGGAAGCAACAGTCTGAAGTTAAAAACATCTTGATGGATTTGTTTATTTCAAACATGCAGCTTTTCACTTCACAATACATTAATTGATGTACTACTTGTGGATTATTGTGATGTTTTTATCAGCTGTTCGGACTCTCATTCTGACGGCACCCATTCACTGCATAGGATCCATTGATGAGCAAGTGATGTAATTCTAAATTTCTCCAAATCTGTTCTGAAGAAGAAACAAATTCATCTAAATCTTAGACAGCCTGAAGGTGAGTGAATTTTCAGCAACTTTTTATTTTTGGGTGAACTACTCCTTTAAAAAGACAGTTCAGCCAAAAATGAAAATTCTGTTTTCATTTACTCACCCTTTACTTTCTTGTGTGCTTCAAACTTGTAATATAGCACACAAATCTTATGCATAACAACTTTCAAGATCTTTATTTTAGGGAGTCCTTTATTAGGGAGTCCTGAATCTCTTTTATTATTATGACAAGCACATTTAGAATATTCCTATTAAGATATTTATAAATTCACCTTTTGTGTTCCATGGAAGAAGGAAAGCTATTCACATTTAAATGACATGAAGGTGAGTTAACATTGACAGATTTTTCCGTTTGGGTAAAGGTTAAAAGTAATGTTCCACATCAAGTTTTTTGTCTATAAACAGAAGGCAACTTGATGCCTGTTAGCATAAAACATACACACACACACAGCACACTGTAAACATACCTCAACACTCTGCTCATCCATCTCAGCCAGTTCTGACAGTCAAATATACCTGACGGGAGAGTCCTGGTGCTTTCACTGCAATAAAAACAGAGAGCAGAGACAATTTATATGATTACATTTCATTAAAACTACAGCAGTATCAGGCACACAGTCTGTAGTATTTTTCCAGATTGTAGACACCGAGAAATATGTCTGGCAACACTGAGCTGAAGTGACAAAAGACATTCATCTGTATGAGCTTAGATGACTGCAGATGGCCAAAACACATGATGAAATTAACACACAATATTGAATGAACTGCCAAAATGCTGCAGGATACATCTGTCAACATCAGTTTAAGGCCTTCACGGTTTTATAAAGCACATAACGGTATCAAATACAAGATATCAAAGGTAAACTTTCGCAGACAGTTGACTTTAACCAAAGAACCCACAAATGGTCGATATAACGACCGGTTAGACCAATAACAAACGCTGTCATCTATTAAATATGTCTGCAGGGACAATATTTGAGCACATCCAACAAGAAACCATCCAACATCTTAACGTGCGAGCTTAAAACTCAATGCCAATACAGAGAGAATAAGAAACGACTAATATAAGTTACTGATAAAATAAAAAGATACTATTACATATATACAGTACATATACTAGCAGGTGATGTAGCGCAGGTTAGCATTTAGCAAGTTAGCTGGGGGGGGGGGTCTCAAAACTCAGTTCACCATACAGAAAAACCTCGTATCTCTCAAAATGCATTTACCTTTCAATGGTGCCCTCGAATCCGTCACTCCGACTGTCTACATCAAACACTATTAATTTACTTTTTTTTATAAGCAGGTTTTGCAGCATCAGACTGCTTGTTTACGGACTAGCAGCAGCAAGCAGCGAATGTAGCCTATATGTCAATGTCGGTCACCACGGGAGATCGTGTCAGTCACCATGGGAAACCGTATCCACCAATCGTATTCACTGTTGGTTGCTGATCGGATTAGCATTAACCAATCACGAATGCGCATTTCGAGTGGGCGGCTCACTTAGCTTTGTGACACGCCTACTTAAAAGCGCCAACATCAAAAATTTAATTCATGGCTATTCAGCTGTGCTTCTTACCAGTTTTAGCGTTTTTGTAACTAAATTCTTAGATTTTATGCCAAACTTTAGAATATTATGACAAATTGACACGATGTATTTGTTTTCTAGTGTAACAGTAAAAGTAGTTCAAACTAATGAAGGGTAGGTGATGTGTTTCTGTCAAATGATACTAATCCAAAATCATATAATACAAGCTGTATCAATGACTAAAATAACAAAACCAAAATTTATGTCACATATTGTCTGAGTAATGACTTCAAATGTAGAGTACTTAAATCAAGATCTCAGCATATCACTTGTGGAGCCTCTTAACTCTCCGGAGACACTGACCTACATTCTATACTGAGAACCTCTGGAGGCCTGCAAGTACAGAGGAACCATCATACGAAGCTCAGGTTTGGTGGGGCTGCAGATCTGTTATGGATCTGATGGCTCATTAAATGGGCCATTTTCAAAGTCCCACATGAACATGTGCAAATTAAACAGTTACATTCAGGCTATACCCAATGAGATGCAATTCAACTCATTTTAGAGATATTCGAGTTAGCAGACTGACATCTGCACACCATATCCTCACCTACCACTCAACAAGCACTTATACCGTACTAGACCTTTACTTTATACACATTATAGTGTATGCTTCAAAACAAAAAATAAATAAAAACACATGATTTTGTCAACCACTGGGTTTAAAACACGGTTATATATATATATATATATATATTATACCATCAGATCTCAGCATTGTGCTTTGCTGATTTATTTTGGTGCTACAGAGTGATAATGATTCACACACAGCAAAATAACATACCTCAACATATATTTACATCATAAATAAAGCAGTTCTGTTAAAATATCACACACAGTCATAAATCATCATTACTGTGAATCAAACCAATTTTTTTCCACATGAATATAGTGTTTTGCGAAGTACCTGTTAATAGTTACAGCTGGGGCAGTATTCAAATGAAAACTTGATCACATTTAAATTGGGTTTGAATAATGCTGACAACATCAAATGCAAAACATATTAATGTCATTCCGAACTTGGGAGGAGAATGACTCGTTAATTTTTAAGTCAGGTCACCATGACATAATTGCATACATTTAGGTGAGATCAAATGCACAGCATTATACCTATATTTTCATTTGTAAATAAACAAATTCCTATGTAAATAGTGTTTATTGCTGAATTGTCTGCACAACAGTACATCCGATCAATTACGTGACCAAGCATTTAATAACGAAATGTACCAAAATACGCCAAAGTTCCTTTAAAAACTAAAATCTGCATGGGGTTCAACTTTAAACTTCCAAAGTATACAGTATGAGCAGCAAAACATTTTATACATCCATAAAAAGACCTTAATCCAGGAGAAATGCACATTAAGGCATGGGAGTGAAACACCCTACAGTGAACATGACTTATCTACAAGAGAAACGCTGATATGTGGTGTATGATCACATAAAAACTGCAATCACATTAAGAGGATGTATTAGCAGCTATATGATTCAGTAATTTAAAACAACTCATATTAAGGTAGATCAAATTACTGACAGATCTTCTAAAGCCAGGTTAGAAAAGCTTATTTAGTTAGACAAACTCTGCCTCATCCGTTATGAATCAGCTGCACAAATGTAGTCACACAAGAATATGTTTTCAGAAAAGATATGACGGGGGACTGTAAGCAAATTTAAAAGACAAATGGAATGGTAACAGCCTAAATACAGGGAAGGAGTGGAGAACTTGAACAAGAGCAGCCACTGCATTTAAAAATGCTTTACCCGTCTTGGTACGACCATGTCGCTGGCTTATTCACTCCAGAGGACATTACACTATGCTAACCCGCAAACACTTGTGGCTGAAGGGGTGGTGGCAGCCTGTCGTTCTCCACATTCTCCGCATCGATCGCAGATGCTCGTGGTTTGATCTCCAGTGGGTATCGCTCCAGGATTTCCTGCACCTCACGGGTCACGCTGTCCTGCCATTCTGCCAGTTCGGTCTGCAGGTTCTGCGCCCCCTCGGTGACCTGCTGCTGTCTTTTCTCAAGGTTGGATAGGAGCTTGAGGTTATGATGGATCTGGCTAAGTGCTGGGTTGACACGGGAACCACTCTGGGGCCAGGCTGCAGGATCATCTTGTCGTCGAGGGGAAGCCTGACCGGACATGTAGCGCTCAAAGTCCTCAGGGCTGAGATTCAACGACTGGGCATCCAGCTTCTCTATGAAGGCAACAGCACAGCACTGCAGGGAACACGTGATAAAGATGAAAATTGAGTAAATAGAATGAAAACGAACAAAGAAACGATTAGACTAAACAGTAATGTTTATTCACAGTTGGCATATGGCTAACCAGACTCAGAAGTAATTATAGTAGCCTCAAACAGTATTTGGAAACTTTTGCCACACTTAAATGGACAGTTCACATAAAAAATTATATTTTGCCATCATTTACTCATTCTCATGTTGTTGCAAACCTGTATGACTTACTTTCTTCTGTGGAGCACTAAAAAAATTTGAACAATGTTGATAACCAAATCGGTTCCTATTTGCTTCCATTGTATTTTTTGTCCATACAATGGAAGCCAATGGGAACCAAAACTGTTTAATTACCAGCATTCTTCAAAATATCTTCTTTTGTGCTCCACAGAAGAAAGTAAGTCATAAAGGTTTGGAACAACATGAAGATAAAAAAATGACAGAATTTTCATGGGTGGACTATCCCTTTAAAAAGGTATTAATGTCATTGCATTAGATAACAAAATATTAAACCAAGGGCATTTATTTTAAAGTAAAATAAATACATTTTTGAACCAAATTATTCCACAAAAATTAGTCTGTTTGGACATAAATTATTTTTGAGTCACTCTAAATTATGTGTGGACCCACTAGGTTGGTGAAGTAGTATCCGTCCTCTCCCGTCATGAGTCTTGAAGGGTTGCAGAAACGTGTGATGTACTGGATGTTGGACTGCAGCCGTGGCGGGTTCGCCTTTAACACAATATAAATGAGGGTGGGTAGGAAGTCATCTGCAGAAGCTGGTTCATTCTTGGTGATTCTGATGGCGCTAAAGATATGCTTGCTGCAACTGGTGATGAAGGCCAGTTTATCCCTGGGCACACGCTTGGAGTCCATCTCAATGATATCTGAGGGAGACAAAATAAGAAGAAAAAAAATCTTGAATCTGGATGGAAGAAAAACCGAAAGTAGCAACCTATAGAAAAAATAGTACCATCCTTGCAGACTCACCAGTGATGGCTTTGACTACACTATCAGAGACCTCAGGGATCTCCTCGTCCACAGGAACACACAACATCTGAATGGTTACCCAGTGTAAGGCCCTGGAAAACCATTATTTAACAAATAAAACAAGACTGCAGATTTTAAAGGTGAATGGCGTAAAAGAATCATACTTACGTGAGGACTTTTCATGTATAAACTTTAAGTTAACACTGATATAATATAATATGGAGTGTGTTGTTAAAATATCAATATTTAATGTAAAACTTAAACGAAAATTAAAAATACTATTTTGGTAAATAGCCAAAATAAGTTTAAGCTAAAGAAGGAAAATTACTCAAACTTACACTGAAATAAAACTAAAGCTAACAAGAAATATATATATAAAAAAATTAAAATACAACCTAATTAAAAATATTAATAAATACTATAATAGCATATAAACAATGCTAAACACTGGCTGACCGAATCCTGTGCTGGGTGGCCAGGTCTTTTTTCTCATCATCTGAGGTCTCTGGACAGAAGACACTCTTGTAGAGTCGAGTCATGATGTATTTTTCCACTTGGTCCATTACTCTATCCACTTTCTCAGAGGAGCCTGAGGAAAGAGGAACCCACTGAGGTTTATATTTGCCAAAAAAAAGAAAAAAAAGAATTCATCTGGCTTCTGGAAAACAATTGTAAACCATAAAAAGGTAAGTATAAATGTACAAAAATGTAAATAACCATAATGGTCCGATCACAGCATTCTACAGAGGACAGCTGAGAGGACAGATACAAATCTTTTAGATACCTCACATACTTGTGTCTTGAATGAAATCAGTGAAATCAGTTTGTTATATAACCCCACTCCCACATCACCATTCTGGAACAACAATGTTTTCTTAGGTGGTTAGCAGACATGGTGGCTGGATGTACTGGATTTGCCCCAGTGTTGTTTTTGTTAACTAAAACTATTAGAAATTGTTCTTGTTAACTGACATCAAGCTTAAATAAAATAAAATATAAATATTAGATGAAAAAAAACAATCAAACGCTGAAAAAAAAATTGGGAATATATATATATATATATATATATATATATATATATATAGACACACACACACACAT